AATTGCATAAAGTCTCATTTATTAGAAAAATGTTTTGATTATTGTCCACAAATCAGTTCAGACCAGTAGAACACAAATCCTCAGAAAGAGCAAGAGCTATGCTGTTCTCACGTGGGACCCTATCAACAGGCTTACCACCTCCTCTCTTCCGGGCTTGGGTATCAGACTTCCTGCTCGGCAGCTGCGTGCCTCTGCTGTCAGGCTGGGGGGGAAAAAAGTTACAGCTATCCTAGTCAGTAATTCCAAATGGCAGACTCGTGGCATCTGCTCAAGTCTGCTGTATCAAGGCTTTCTCCTTTGCAGTCACATGCATAAGTCATTGCCGAATTTCATGCCCTAACTGCTCCAGCGACCAAATTACAGCACAGCAGGGATGAACACCCCAGTCTGCCTGAACAGCATACGTTTACAAAAAGCTGCAAACTGCAATATAAGGGAGCTACACTGATTCCCAACACAGGCTGATCATCTCTGTGACAAAAAACAGCGTCAGGAGCTGCTGCACTATTATAGCTATCCCTCTTTACAGCACTCGTGAAAAGGTATTTCAAAGTTGGCTTCACTCGCAAGATTCAAAAGGATCTCTAGCACGCCAGCCTGCCATTAGAAACCATAAATCCGCAGGTTTTCCTCAGAATATCAGACATGCTCTCTAAACAGCTAAGTCCTTTTTTTTTTTTTAATTCCTTGCATATTTAACCAGTACATATTATGAAATTCTATTAAAAATATTTACATAAGGTTTAAATATAGTTGTGAATAACTATAGAAAACCTATATTTTTAACGGCCTTCTAGCAAACCGCACACAGCGTTTGTGATTGAAAGAATTGAAGAAAAAACGGAAGACTGAAATTTTGAAGGACTTTATCACCTAAGTGCAATTTTCCCAGAGTCTATTCTCTCAGGAGCGATGCACTTAATAGAAGAAAACAATTTCAACCAAAGCTTGAGAACTTACTACTTGGTCAAGTAAAAAAAAAAACCAAAACAAAACACCAAACACTGTGGCAGGGAGAAGGCTGTAAGAGATCTGAGAATAAATACAGTTTTAATCAAAACTTGCCTCATCCTCCAATCCTGGAAGAAGCTTCAGTGTTGTTATAATTTGGGACCCACTACAATACTTCTCAAGCAGATGTTTTGTAATTGTCAGAAGAGAAAGCCACCACAACACAGCGGCGTTATGCCCTTTCCCTCACCCCTTCTTCCACACAACTGAGTAACTGTTAAACAGGAAAATAAAAACCCAACAGGGCCCATCACAGGCTCTGTCCCAGATTTTGAAAGAACCAGCTTTTGCAAACATCACATCAAGAGCATGTTTTCACAGTTTTTAAAAGGATCTTTATTCTCTTAAGTAACAGGAAAGGAAACATTCCTTTGCAGTTTGTTCTACCCAACAACGCAAGATGGAGAAAAAGAAAATGAAAGTGACCACAAGAGAAGCAGACAGACTGCATTCTCCAAGATAAAAAGATAATTACACGGCTGGATCTCTAAAGTTAGTGGCTGGAATGACTCAATCTGTACTTGGGAACATAAAATAGTTTAAGAGCAGGATTTGGCCAGTCCTTAGATGTCAACTACAAGCAATAAAGCTGACCGTATTCTGCAACTCAGTTTAATTCTCTGTACATCAGGGTTGGGAGAAGAACTCACACTAAGACAACAGGACTACAACCACCCAAGACATTTTAATAATGCAAGGAAGGATGGAACATACATTAATACTGAAGTCTGTAATTAGAAAGCAACGCTGACCAGTAACGCAAGCAACACTGACCGATGATGAATGAGGATGATCTGACTAATTAGTAACTCTTAAGCAAGAGGTACAGCTTGCAAGACAGGAGAGTCATCCCTCAGATGCAGCAATGCTTCAGAGATACAAGAAAAAAAAAATGCAGTTACATAGTGACCAGGGGCATACTACCTACTTGTAGAGAGGCTCCTTTTGGAGATACTTTGTACTTTTTATGAATTCATACCATAAACCAAGCCTAAAGATTGACTGTACTGTAGCTAGCTTATTAATCCCAAGATCATTCATGACTGCAATAAAATAGACTCCTACCCAAATAACAGACCAATACTGCATATTTCTCCTCAACACCATGTATTTTAAGTTGGAAAAGGTCTTGATTTCATTTAGCAACATTCATACATGCCATAGTGCAAAAGACTGGTTTGTATTTCTGATGGTAGAAATCCTCTTGATGGGCTTTAGCCTACTCTATCAGTTACATTATTCCACAGCCACAAGCAAGGCTCTTTCCTCATCATCTAAAGCAGACGGACTTCTCTAACGATCATGCACAGCATCAAATCAGAAGAGTAACAGGACAACTGACTTGGCAGTTTAATAACGAAGGGTTTTTATGTACCATTAATAGCTTTTCATGTTTAGCAATGCCCTTTCAACAGCTCTGCTGTTCAGTGTTGTATTCAGAGCGTAGCTGCATGTTGCATTCTTCATAAAATAGGTTTCCAGGCCAAGGAAGTAAACTAGAACTATGTTTAAGGTCTTGAGAAGTCCAAGAGGATTATGAGCTCTTTCTCTAAGAGACGCAGCCAGTGTAACCTTCCAAAACATGAACGCTGACCCTTCAGGTTCCCATGAATATTTCTAATATTATGCTTCCCACCCAGCCTCCCCGTCCTTTCTCTTGAAGTACCAATTCCTTAACTAGTCAAAAGACAAGCAATCCGAGATTCTTCCCTCCTACCCTGACACTTTGACTCTTCCTCTAAAGACAATTAGGAAAAAATATAGTGATACTGCAAAGACGACTATGACACACCATTACTAGACACAGTTAGTCATCCTTGGGATTCCCTGTTCAAGAGTATTTCAGAAGTGCTGAGAAGAGTCCTACAGCTTAAGCAGTGCAGTATTACACCTCATAGTAATCTACGTGTCATAGTTCTCCTCACAACTTTTTTTTTTCCCCCCACAGCCTAAAACAGAACCTGAGGATCCAAGAGTAAACAAGGTTTTTGTGGAGGGTATTTTGCTTTAGGAAAGAGTCCACAACGTACAGAGCACTGGGTACCTCCAGCAGAGCAAGTCTGATGACAAGAGAACTATTCAAGTGAGGTCACTTAAAAACACAGCTCATTTTCCCAAATTTGGCTAAAGTTAGATATTATACTTGCAAATGATTGTTTCAAAGGTGTCTCCTAGAGCATCCCAAGATAACTTCCAGAAAAAAGAAAAAAAAATCCTAAGAATATCAGCAAGAGTCTACCAATCTTAAGTTATTGCAAAGACCACTTCCATAGTAAAATATTTTGAGATTTATTGGGTTTAGGGCCAGAAGGTCTGTATAAACACACTGCCTGCCTTTTACCAAGCAACATGTAACATCTTTCCTGTCTTGGATCTACTGTGGCAGGATCTACCACATCCTCTGAACAGCTCAGTGGTTATTTTCCCTCACTGTTTAAAACATACAACTTCTTGATCAATAGCTCTAGCTGGTACAGGTTTTTCATCCTTAACTAGTGGCATTTCAGCAGGCACTCGTTTTTACATAGCACCACAAGATACTTCTTATTTAAATCCACCTCTGAAGGCAGGTACTGACTCTCAAACTCCAATTCTAACAAAACCAAAAGGCATCTGGGGGACAGCCTCTGCCACTATGACAATCTCTATCACATTCATCACATTGAAACCTGGTATCATTTCAGCTGTTCTATCAAGTCTGTTTCCTACACATTTTGAAATGGATAAGCAAGGACTCAGAACTGCAAAATATTAAGTGCCTCCTCACAAGATGCCACAGGGCTAACTCCCATACATTTTAACAGAAGGGGAATGATCCTGCATTTGAGTCAGAGCTGGCCAGACGCACCCATGTCTGAACTGCACCAGCAGCAATCTGGCTGCCCTCACCCATTACTTCATATCCTGGGACGAGAAGAACTGAGAAGTGCAAAGGGACTACAGCTGACTTACAGCACCAGTGCGGAAACAGACTGCCTCCTTTCCTTCTTTTATGGCTGTGATCTCCGAGGGGGAAGTTGTCCTTTTGTTGCAACTCCAGCTAATAGCTGACCACATTTTCTGGTTTTCACCACTTCATCAGATTAACACTTTGAATCAAATTTATTAATCTCCCCATTCTTCTGCAGTAAAAGGACTTTTAAAGTAAGAGATCTTTTGAAGCCTTAAGATACTGATGTTTTCAGCCAATACTGACAATCACCCTGCCTGGTTTTGCACAGTCTGGATGTCAGGAGCGGGGACACGCACCACAGCAGCAGAAGCCCTTCCACAGGACTGCCAGATAACCAGAAGTGACTATGGTCAAAGATTACGGAAAGTTTCACAATAAAATCAGGCTACTCACTATCACTGGGCACAAACACATCAGAAAGGACTCCTGTCATCCCCTCCCCCAAGAACTGACCCTTTACATCTGTGACTGAACTGCCTTTTCATTAAAAATACCACTTACAGATCTTCCTCCATCACAAAGAACAGATTCATATTGTATTAATTACAGCGGTTGTCACGAGCCCATTAGGACAAGCTCATACTACATAAATTAAAGCACTCCACTGCTAAATTTTAGTGCTTTTTCAATTAAGTTCTAATACACACAGAGAAACTATTGAAAACCAAGGAACTACATAGACACCTGTAACTTAAAAAATAAAACCCAAGACTGAGTTTATTGCTCAGCTAGAGAGCTATTTTACCTGCAGGCAGGACAGCCACCAACTACTACTACAGAAGTGGTGGTAGCAGGCTGTTGAATAATGGTGTACGTGCTCGAATAGTTTGGCTGTGATGTCGGTGGAGGAACAGCATACCCTAAAATAAGAAAACAAACCCCAGTCACCACACGCAAGGCACAAAGAACAATGATAATAATTAAAAAGTATGGAAGCAGAACATGGAAAAAAATAAATAGAAATGTAGTCTTGACTGAGCACTTTAAGAAGCTCTATCAAAATCAGACTTGGAACACACTACTCGGCACATCTAATAGCAAAGCCACTTCATAAACCCAAGTATCTAGCACAATTTAACCATCTAAAAAGGACACTGAGCTAATAATTAACTTTGAGAATTTGTTTCAACGCTGTTTGAGCGCCAGGGAAAAACACTTTAAACAAACAGCGATCACAGCTTTCACTTCTGGACGTTATGCATCAGGTATGTCCCAGTCCAGCGGACAAACTAGTTGAAACAGAATCCATCTTCCTCTGGTTTCCAACTTAACTTCCATATATTAAGTTTATAACTGAAGAGAGAGGTAGAAGTGATAGGATGCAAGCGGAAAGGAAGCAGGTTGCATAGCACAGAGAAAAAACAACCACCTTTCAGAAAACCCATGTTGTTAGCTAGTGAATGTGTCATTTTATCAGCTGTAGTTAGAAAACACAAGCCCTTAACTACTGCATTAACATTAAAAATTAAAAAAAATAAAAATGCTTTTTAAAGGGATGGTTAAATGTACGCAGTGTAATCATACAGTCAAGGTACACTTTGCCCAGGTACGATCCCCTTTGAGCTTCTCTCCCAGGGCACAGTTCTCAGATTTTCTTGAATCACGTTATGTATCTGTAAAGCCCACCAGCCTCACTACTTAAAATGAAACTGAAAAGAATCAGTAATATTTGTATTGTAGGAAAATAAGCTCCAAGTTATTAGCAGGAAATCAATCTACGGCCTCAAGATTCAGCCCAATGCTTGATGACTGGGGTCTGTGTCTGCTGCATTCCGTGTATTTTTTGTAACTTTTGAAGCATTCCCTTAACTCTACAGTCTTTCCTGAAAGGCTACTTCTTTCTTTGATGGAGGTTAGTATTAATTCAGTTAACAAAAGTACCATATCTACTCACCTGCTTAAGTCTCCCCAAGACTACTGAAGTGTATCAGAAAAAACAAACATTAACCAGAGTACAGTGAAGTACATGCAAAGAAAAGTGCAATTTTGGGGTCTGTTTTACTGCTAGCACAGCTGTGCCTCTTTGCCATTGCTTTGAGGCGGAAAACCCACACATCCGAGGGGTGCATGCAAACTCGGTCAGCATTTTGGGGAGGGCAAAACACAAACACGACGTTACACCTCAGAGGCACCTAGGGAAGGAGGGGACGGGGAGGCGGCGCTTTTAAACACCTGGGTGCCCCGCACACCCTCCTCCTTGCGCTCCTCTTAAGCGCGAAAACGGCCACGGTCCAACCGCCTCACTCCTGACAGGGAAGCCCCACGCCAGAGAGGCGCAGGAGTTTCCCC